CCTCATGTTCCCGTACAGAAGCAGAATTTATTGGCTTACGGCAAGAACTATAAGAGATGGAGTCTTATACAACCATGGATCTTGATTTCTATTGGACTATGTCAATCCCCCACGGGGTTNTGGGCTCTTTCCCAGATTTCTCCTTGTCAACCCCTCGACTGCTCACAATCGACTTCTCAACTTCATCTTCAAGCGCCTCAAGCTACTTCAAATACCTCGAAATTCGACTCTCAGCAAGCGAAAACACACCGCATTACGCTATAATCCTACGAGACTTGCAGAAAGCAGCCTCGCTTTACTCTATAATAACCTCCAACCGTCATATCTACCTACTCATCGTGGAAACCGTACACATGGCTACCAACACCATGCCGTTTACCTGTCCGTCTATGGTCACTAGACCAAGAACAACTCGTCCTTCCGGCTCCTATATCACCTGGAGCGATGTCATCCGCTCTAATCGATCTCCATCTCCGGTCATTAGACGCCTTCGAACCCATCCCTCTGCGTCTACAGTCACTACCCCTGACAGTTTCCTTTTTCCCACTCCCAATCCTCCATGCACACTCGCTAGGCGTGGTGCAATCCGCCGTTCCGTTCCCAAACCCATTACGCTCTATTCAGCCTGCCCTCTGACAAAAAATATTCCTGGAACTGACTCGATCTCGACTTGCCGCAAGCACGATAGTGCACGCAACCACCACGTCTCCGGAACCCGTATTTCCGACGCACCTTATTTCTCTGATATATCGCCCTTCTCTAACTGCTCCCCTGACACCTCATCCCCCGACACCTCCTTTAACACCACCACCACCACCACTACATCCTCCTCTGACATCTTCTCCACTAACATCCACTCACCCTCTGATACTTGCCCCTCTGACATTACCTCTCCTGATGTTCCCTCTTCTGCAACCGCCTTCTCCTCTGACACCTCCACTGAATGTAACTGCGGCTCAATAATATTCGACGCCTTGGACAACAGTCTTGGGGGTACCCCCTCCATTACCAAGGCCCTTGAAACCGTCCGCCTGTACGGCGGCTGCGACGGACTAAAGCGTATCATCGACCCCATCGAACAGTTGAGCCTCTGCAAGATATGCACCAAGGATGAATCCCTCCGAGATTTCTTGCACTTGGTCTGCAACGGAGTCATTCGGCAATACCGGCATTTCTACTACGCACTCAAGGAACACTACGAAACAGTCGACTACCGGCTTGGATTAGGCTCCAGCCACGAAAGAGAGCAGCACGACTGTACTTTCGTGCTCTATGCCGTTCAAATCGTGCGCATAATTGCCAGCGTCGACCGACTCAATCGCATTCTTCCCGAACAGCCGCTCTACGACGAAGATGCCTGGTATGCCCTAGCCAACCAGGGCGAGCAACTGGTCGACGCCACCGGCCGACTCCGAGAGCAGGTGGTCTTGGGTGACGGCTGAGGGAAGGGGGTTTTATTAACTTAACTCATGTTGTACGCGGTGCATGTACCTAGAACTATGGCAGGTGGGAAGGCCGGGCGGGCGGTGGGAAAAGGCCTTCACACCGAGATGGTTATGAGCCGTCTTATATATCATCAACTACCCTCAATACCTACAATGAATCATTCGACCACATTTGACGATGGTAGTAGTAGTAGTAGTAGTAGTAGTAGTATAGATGTTCTGTAGAAGTATGTATAAGCCTCAAGCCTAATGTCCATCCCCATTGGTTGCATTTCCAACCAGTAATAATAAGATTTTAGTAGTATGCTGCAGAACATCCCGAAAAGGCCGTCAATAGAAGCCCGGCTTGAATAACACAGTGGATGCCTCAGGCGACAAACACCCCCGTAGATCTGCTGCGCCTCCCGTTTCACTTGCTGATCTCCTCCAACTCTCCGGCCGTCGTGTCGGAAACTCAACCTTGACAATCCCTCTTCTGCTTTGATTCTCGAGTCCATGACTGCATTCGTTCTTTAAGAGCACGAACCGGTGCACAAACTGTTCACTACCTTTCGCACTCCTCTTCGACCCCATCACCGCCGATCCCCCGAGCCGACGATAACGATCCCTCGGCTCTTATCTACCGGAGCTGCCAGTGACTCCCTTCCACCGCTACCCTCGTGATCATATGTGACACGGAGACACTCTCCAGCCTTGCCTCCTTTAGGATCCTCTCCCAGAATGGGGAAATACCAAGAGGATGACAACAACGAATTCCTCCCCATGAGCAGTCCACGGCCGTCCACGTCCTCAACATCCTCCGATTCGGGTCTCTCCGTCGATACCACCGCCTACCCCGAAGAATCCAAGTACACTTCAACCGCCCCCGGCGCCGGTGGACTGTCCGATGAGAATAGATACCGAGATGTAGAAGAGGGAGAAGCAGGGGCAGACGAGCCGTTCCTCCCTTCGGCAAAGAAGCAAGCTGCCTCCGGAAGCCGCACGTCTCGTCTGATTTGGGGCCTGGTGATACTCTGCGTCGCCGGTTGGCTTTGGGGCCTGGTGTTGTTTGTGACTCAAAATCGCTCGGCCCAGCAGTCAGTTTCCGAAGCGCTGCAATCGCACGAGTCGGGTGCGATCTCCGGGAGTTCGAGTTCTGGAAAACCGGTTACGCTGGAGCAGGTGCTTACGGGACAGTGGCTTCCTCGGTCCCATGCTGTTTCTTGGATTGCAGGACCTAATGGCGAGGATGGTCTTTTGGTGGAGCAAGGAGAGGATCAGGGCAAGGGATATTTGCGGGTCGACGACATTCGGAGTCGCAAAGGCGATGCGACTAGCCAGGAAAGCAGGGTGCTGATGGAAAAGGCAATTGTGCAAGTGGATGGACGGACGATCTTCCCGGTCTCAACATGGCCGAGCCCAAACTTGAACAAGGTGCTGCTTTTGTCCGAGCGCGAGAAGAACTGGAGACACTCTTTCACTGGGAAATACTGGATCTTCGATGTGGCTACCCAAACCGCACAGCCGCTTGACCCAAGTAATCCTGATGGACGCGTGCAGCTCGCAATCTGGTCGCCAACCTCAGATATGGTCGCCTTCGTGAGGGACAACAACCTGTACTTGCGCAAATTGTCCTCGAAAGAGGTGGTTCCTATTACAAAAGACGGCGGTGCGGATCTTTTCTACGGCATTCCCGATTGGGTCTATGAGGAAGAGGTCTTCTCGGGCAATAGCGTAACATGGTGGTCGGGAGACGGGAAATACGTGGCTTTCCTGCGAACCAACGAGACGGCTGTCCCTGAATTTCCCGTCCAGTACTACCTGTCACGGCCATCTGGCAAGCGACCTCCCCCGGGACTAGAGGATTACCCAGAAGTCAGGGAGATCAAGTACCCCAAGGCTGGCGCTCCCAACCCCGTTGTCAGTCTACAGTTTTACGACGTTGAGAAACAAGAAGTCTTCTCGATCGAAGCACCGGATAATTTCGAGGATGACGATCGCATCATCATCGAGATCGTGTGGGGCACCGAAGGGAAGATCCTTGTGCGCGCAACCAACCGAGAAAGCGATGTCCTGAAGGTGTTCTTGTTCGACACGAAAGCCAGAACTAGCAAGCTTGTACGTGTTGAGAATGTCGCTGATATCGACGGTGGCTGGGTAGAGCCTACGCAGTACACATGGTTCATCCCAGCAGATCCCAGCAATGGCCGCCCTCATGATGGATATCTCGATACTGTGATCCACGAGGGCTACGAGCACCTGGGTTACTTCACGCCCCTGGACAACTCAGAACCCATTCTCCTCACTCAGGGCGAGTGGGAAGTAGTGGACGCGCCCACCGCCGTGGACTTGCGCAAAGGCATCGTGTACTTCATCTCTACAAAGGAATCCCCCACTGAGCGGCACCTCTACCAGGTGAACCTAGACGGATCCAACCTCAAGCCTCTAACAGACACCTCCAAGCCCGGCTACTACGACGTATCTTTCTCCCACGGAACCGGCTACGCCCTTCTCAGCTACCGAGGTCCTTCCATCCCATGGCAAGCGATCGTCAACACCGAGACCGACGAGCTGAAGTATGAGGAGACCATCGAAGACAACGCCGGCCTGGCACGTATGGTTGACTCATACGCCCTTCCCACTGAGATCTACCAAAACGTGACAATCGACGGCTTCACCCTACAAGTCGTCGAGCGCCGTCCCCCACACTTCAACCCAGCCAAGAAGTACCCGGTCCTCTTCTACCTCTACAACGGCCCACGCTCCCAAACCGTCGACCGCAAATTCAACATCGACTTCCAATCCTACGTCGCCTCGAGCCTCGGCTACATCGTCGTGACCGTTGACGGCCGCGGCACTGGTTTCTCTGGCCGCAAAACCCGCTGCATCGTCCGCGGCAACCTAGGCTACTACGAAGCCTACGACCAAATCACCACGGCGAAGCTCTGGGGCGAGAAGCCTTATGTCGATGAAACCCGCATGTCCATCTGGGGCTGGAGTTACGGCGGATTTATGACACTCAAGACATTGGAACAAGATGCCGGGCAGACCTTCCAATACGGCATGGCCGTAGCCCCTGTGACTGACTGGCGACACTATGGTAGGCCCCTCCTTAACCCTCTTCACTTCTAACCTCACGCTAATACTAATAATAAATAGACTCGATCTACACCGAACGCTACATGCACACCCCAGCCCACAACCCCAACGGCTACGACAACACATCCATCACCGACATGACCGCGCTCCAACAAACCGTGCGATTCCTCGTCATCCACGGCGCCTCGGACGACAACGTCCACATTCAAAATACGCTCGTCCTCGTGGATAAACTGGACCTGGCGGGCGTGCAGAACTACGATTTGCATTTCTATCCAGATTCAGATCATAGTATCAACTTTCACAATGCGCATAGGATGGTTTATGAGCGTGAGCCCCCCTTCCCCTCCCCGATCCCGTGATTGTCAGGTATGGATGGTATCGAGACATGTACTAATGATAGTGATGATAGGACTATCGAGCTGGCTCGTCAACGCTTTCAACGATGAATGGCATCGCATAGCGGATCCGGTCCCGGATGACTCGATGTGGGAGAAGGTGAAGAGGTCGTTGCCGATGTTGGTGAAATGAATCGAATTGATTTGTTGCATCGTAGTTATATTTCTTTATTCTATTATGTTTGATACTAGTGCATACATATATCATCATGGTTTCGGGTTCATTTTAGTTCCTACATACTACATAGCATGATACGTATGTATGGACATGTTAAAGGCGTTTTCTAATTACTATAGGTACTCATCTATCACGGAAAAAGGAAGTACTTTAATCGCATTAAAGCATTACAATAGTAGTAGTATTTTTCATATCACCATGCAACTGAAACAAACAATCAACAAAACATCCCAACATCTCTATGCTATGCAAGTTTCAGCTCAAAACCAACATCAATACATCAACATCAACATCTGTACAATGAATGCATATAGCAAGAAAATATGAACAGATATCCCGTGCGATCGAAGTGGAACGCAGGAAACGAAGCGAGTGAAAGGAACGACACACGAGGTATATAGTATATAATATATACAAAAAGAGCGACGATATTTCTCCTCGTCCAAACCAACTCAAATATGCACAAGATGCAACAACAACAACGTGGGTATAAACTCTCTACAAGCAGTGATATCAACAACACCGCAGAGTCATTCAATATCAGACGATGTTGCTACCACCACTGCCACCTTCAATGCCCCTGAAAATGCTCGATTGCAGAAACTCCTCTCTCATAATCATGCTGACATCTGAGTTGCGATACTGATGCAGATCCTCACGTTGCAGACCACGCAGCTGCTCTCTTCCAGCGGTAGAAATAGACTGAGAGCGCGAATGACGTCCGGAGCGGCTCACCACCGGCGACAAACGACCAGGGGAAAGATGAGTATCTCCGCCTGGTCCACCGGAGAAAGACAGTGTCTGCCGGGGTGCAAAGACAGGGAGGGAAGCGCTGCTGGGGAGGCGCATGAAGGAGCTCGCGTCCGTGGAGGTATTACTTAGACTGGACCGGATAGACGAAGGACGTTGATTGCCGGTGGGCAGCATCGGAAAGTTCGAGACGGAGCTGTAGAGAGTGGACATGCCTGATGCAGCGGACGAGCGCCAGGAGTTGACCGCGCTGCGGGGGATAGTGATGACTTCTTCGTCGATGGGGAGGGTCTGCTGCAGCGCCGTGGCGACGTCCGTGGGCTCTTGGAGGTTGACGTGCGGACGGTTGGCCATGATCTTAGCGGATTTGCCGATCCAGAGCATTTGCTCATGTTCACGGAGGTAGCGATCACCGCTGAAGGATTTCTGGACGATCTTGCGGGTCATCATTCCCAGTTTGCGACGGTGCTCGCTCTTCTCGTACATGCGACGGGTGATCTTGGCGACGTCGTCGGGGGTCGGGGAGGAGGTAAGCACTGGTGGTGGAGCGTCGTCTTCGGCGTACTTGCTCCATTCGCCGAGGAGGCCGAGCATGGTGATTTGGGCCTTTGCGAGGGCGAGGGCGTCGTTGGGGGCGACGACGGCGCTGAAGCGGGAGAAGTCATCTGGGTCGCTGAGGACGCGGAGGGAGGCGCCGACGTCGGTGCAGACGACGGGGGCGCCGGTTAGGGCGGCTTCGCCGAGGGCGAGGGGGAGACCTTCGGAGAGGGAAGAGTTGAGGAAGAGCCAGGTGTTCTCGAGGACTTTCATGGGGTCGGCGGTGCCGCGGAGGGTGACTTTGCCGCGGAGGCCCTTGGAGGCGATGATTTCTTGACATTCCGTGGAGTAGGTAGGGGCTTTGTCGATGGCTCCGTAGATGTCAAGGTGGTAGTCGTCGAACTTCCACTGGTTGATGATGATGTCCGCGGCCAGGAGGGCGATTTCGATGTCTTTGGCGTACCAGACGTGGGATAACATGGTGACGGTTGGGCGCTGGGATTTGATCTCTTTGACGGGGGCAAACTTCTGCATGTCTGTGATGCCGTTGACGACGGGGTCGACCTTGCGGCGGAAGACGTTGCGGTGCTCGATGGTGCCCTGGCAGGTGCCGATCTCGACTTCCCAGCCTGGGTTGAAGAAGTCGGCGCAGGGGGAGATGATATCGGCGTGGTGCAGGGTTAGGACCGAGGTGACGCGCATGAGGCCGAGTAGGGAGTTGCGGACGAAGGGAGAGAGCTTGCAAAGTGCGGATGACAGGCAGAGGTTGGTCTCACGCCAACTGATGGCATGGTCCCAGATCTGGAGTGTGCAGTTTCTCTTCACCTTGCAGACGACACCGTAAGATGCACTGACACTGTGGTGCGATGCTTGGAAGACATTGGGGATCTTCTCGGGGATTGGAATCGAGAAGATGAACAGGTAGCGATACCAGAGTTCCAGTGCAATGTCGAGAGAGGCCAGCGTGGGGAGTTCCGTGCGGAACCATTCAGACGAAGGGACGGTGTTGGGCATTTCTTGACTGAGCCACAGGTCGCGCCAGCTTTCCTTGACAATCTCACTGTCCCAGACTTGGGTCCAGTGCCGGGAATCTTGGAAGTAGGTGTTGAGATTGACCAAGGCTCGAGTCGCTTGCTGGATATCCGCCTTGGACAGATGGATAGCGCGAGCTCCCTTGACTAGTGCCGTCAAGATGGGGATGAAGTTCATCTTGATGTCCATCTCACTGGCGGAAGTGACATTCTCTACTTCCGAGTCCAGCTTGTTCCTGAAGAGACCGTGCGTGGGCGTGAGGAAGTCGAGACCCCAGAGAGGGACAACCTTCAAGGAAAGAATGTTCTGCTCGGTCTGGTGCTTGGGAATGCCAAAGTCATTGGCAGACTCGCAAATCATATGCCACTTGATAGTCCTCAGGGAGTTGATCATATCGCGTCGGCATGCAGAAACGCCACCTCCTTCGTTTGGCCAGGTACCATTGTCAGCAGCCATGACATGCAGGCTCTTCTCCGTATCAGCGCCAAAGTCCTTGGATCTAGTGTTGACGACTGCATCACCACCAGGGCCAAAGTTGAAAAGATCACTGATCTTCACGGCAAGCGGGGTCCAGCTAGAGATGTTGTCGTCCAGATCTGCACTGGCTGTGATGGTGTCTGCGCGGACATCCAGATACTTCTTGGCCGAAGCAAGGTCACCGCGATCCCGACTACGCCAGTAGGGAGCGAGGGTCTTATCTCGGCGCAAGAGTCGTTCATCCATCCAGCGAACGATGACACCATCAAAGTCGACACGTTCCTTCCAGGCCTTCCAGATCAACGAGCGAGCGCGAGACGTTGACACGGGGAAGCGCTTCTTGGTGAGTCCGAAGAACCGGCTGAAGATGCTTGAGTTCAAACTATCACAGTACAGGAGAGGATTGTCATGCACAAAGCTGGTGTGTTTCGGCTTGGCCAGCACTCCGAGGTAGTCGTGTTCCATCATGGGGGGCGTCTGCACCTTTTGTCCGTTGAGCGTGGTGAAGATAGTGGGATGGAACTTGTGATCGTAGAGCCAACGTGCCTCGTAGACATCGGCGCCCTGAACGAAAGTTGCCTCGGTGACCTTGGAGTGAGGGATCCAACGGTCTATCTTCTCGGGATGGCGCAGAGGAGGAGCGCACCATGAGACCGTACAAGTGATGTGTGAGAGTGCAAACTCGGCTCGAAGCAACTCGTCACCAAAACGGGGGTTCTTGCGATAA